TAATTAAATAAGGGTATAATTGGAAATATATATAAATTTAAGTGATTAAGTCGATGGATTAATTGTTGCAAGTGGAAGAATCAGCACATATTTAAAAACCACTAAAGTAGACAAAATCACATGACGAGAATGAAATTGCGGATGAGGTTCCTTCTTGGAAAGTTTTAAAATTTGACGGGTGTCTTTCCTGAAATGTAGACGTTGACCATTCTATTCTTGGTACAACTTGTGTCCTCTGATTAGTTATTAAATATCTTCCTACCTTTTCTTCCTACTTATCTTCATATCCATATTATCTTCCTATCCACATGAAATTGTGACAAGTGTCATATTTATATAAAACCAATGATATTTTAGGATACTTGTCATCATTTCAAATGGGTAGAAAGATAATTAGGAAGAAAAGTAGGAGGATATTTAATTTCTCTTACGTCTTACATTCGCCTCACATATTCCATGCGTTTTAAAATACTCTTCATATATGTATTACAAGTTCATCTAATATATCTGTTGTTAGAATACCGATGACAACAAACTCAATATCTATCAAGATTTATTATATTTTTTTATAATTTTATTTTATTAAGACAACTAATAGTTCAATTATAAAGGTAAAAATGATATAATAACAAGACAATCCTTGATTTGTTTAATATAAAGTCATTAACTTTTCATATATATTTAGTCATTGTAACTTAAAAACAAACAACTTATTTTATAACTTATATTCCTATATCATGTCAAGTAAAATATGATCCATTTTTAGTTATTTATGAAAGAAATAATTTTGTTTTATATTAGATTTTACATATTATTTGTTTTTTTAACTATTATACAACAAACTTTACAAATCGTTGGCTTTTCATGAAAACGCCAAGAAACTACCGCCTTGAAGAGTTTGACATAAACTTCACATAAATCAAATATGCTATGTGAAAAGCACGTACGTCTCAATATTTTACATTCCAAAAGCAATTTACAAACGCTATGTCCAATTTATTGCTACGTATTTTGAAAGTTTTAAACATCAATAATAAATAATTATAAATTACAATAGCATAGAATAATAATTCTACTCAAGAAAATGGTACTTATGGTTTTACTTTTAACACACGTTAAAATTATCAACCTTCACGGTAAAACATTTGGTTGATTGTCCTCGTCATTGAGGTCGAGGTTCAAGTCTCGTTAGATACATATATGATATTTATGATATTTAAAAGTAGTTTAGGAGTATATTATATTTACCGTTATAAAAAAATAAATATATAAATAAAACAAGTATATATGTTTTTCTAAATATGGCCAATCACAAAAATACAAAAGAGAGGGTCCATTATAACAAAATAATCTGATTTTCAACTATTATCAAAACATGATCATGCATTTCCCAAACAAGTTGCAATAAAAAATTGTAAAGACCATTATTTAACATGTTCTAGCTTGCTCTCCCTAAAATAATCTTATTTTCAACGATTTTCAAAACATGATCATCCATTTCGCAAACAAGTTGTACAAAGAAATATCATCAAGACCATTGAGTTTTATTACATATGTTCTAGCTTACTCTCTCCCCAAAGTTATTTATTCATATTCATTCATTTGTTGGTTTGTGAAAAGTTACAAATCGTGAAACCGTAACGACATGTCAATCTTCATGTTTCAATTTTTGTGTAGATTATTTTATATGTTAGGTTTTTTTTTTATGGTTGAATTATATATAACTATCAAGACGTTAGGAAAAAAGATATTTACAAAGAAAACTATAACCTGGTTTTGAAGCCAAACAACCCAACTAACTTTTTGTTTACAAAATTTATGCTCAAACCAATTAAACAATAATGTGGTGTTGTCGATTTGGTTTGGTATGCTGGGCTCATGCTTAGGAAGGGCGTTAAGGATGTCTTGGAGGGAGTCTTTATGTTATATGGTGCATGAGCGGCTCAACCAATTCGGGGGCTCTAAGCAACCAAAAATTTGGTCCCTTTGGTTTTACTATACTTAAAACAGTAGTTCGTTCAGTAAACACAGATTCACAAAAACACAAGATGTAAACTAATTAAGGTATACGTGCAAACAGATAATGAAAATAGATTAAGGTATCATATAAATTGTAATACTTTTTAATGATGCAAGAAACCTTTAACTTTCTATGATATTCCTGAAGATACCAACAACGCAAAAAATGAGTGGAAACACTAACTCAAAAATCAAAATTAAACAAAAAAAAAATCTAGAATAGAAGGAATCAAGTGAAAACAGAAACATATAATGAAAAAATTGACTATTAACCCTAATAGATACCAGAAGATACCAACAATGCACATACCTTGAATCATCAAAGTCTTCATAGAAGTCGAGAATAGAGAAGACAAAAGCTATTTCAACGGTTCAGGAATCACCAAATCAGGCAACCTTTCTTTCATTATTCAACAGTTCAAGAACAAGGTTGGAGAATCGTACTAGAATCGAGAACGGAGAATTAGTCAATCATAGATTTAGAGTACAAGTCTACAAGAATGGAGACGGAAGGAAGAAGAACAGAAGTGTAATCGCCGTTTTGATTTGAGGCGTGTAATATATCAACGAATATAGAAACCTAGAAGAGAAGCTGAGAAGGTATGGAATATCGAAATAATCGACATTAGAGGATTTGGATTAAGTGGGCCCTTTACCAAAAGGGTCCCTAAGCCCTAACTTATATTTTTAATACATAAGGCCGACCTTGATATGGTGTGTTATTTGGTCGTTCCATAACAAGGTGATGTTTGGTAAGGAACAACATTAGAAGGCGATTCTTTTTTATAACATTGTCACTCAAGCTTTTCTTTAGTGTAATAATAGGCGTGTGGGTGAGTTGCTTACAAAATCATGTGGTCGCAGTTATGTAATGTGACATTTTTTGTGTTTTGTATAGTTGCTTGCTAGCAATTTTTTTAATAATATCATTGTCGTTCTAAAACATAATGCAACAATGTTGCATATTCTCTTTTCTAATTGTCGGACGGCTAGAAAAAAATGCAACTCGGTGATTCCAAATCAACCATTATAACGAGCTAATAATGACATGAACCGACACCTTCTTAAACCTCAAAATAATTGTAGCCTTCAATCATTCGAACGCACTTCCTATCAAGAGAAAGGATGGGAAATTAAGGTCGCACTTAAGGTCGCACCAAATAGCCACCTGGTTCCATAATTAAACCACCACACCCTATAAAATAAACAACTGATTCACATCCTTCCAGCGATAACTTTTTCAACATATTGAACCGATCCGTCCTACTTGTACCTTTAGCAACCCTTGGTAGGCAATCATTCCATACAGTTAAAACCATTTCGAATGAGCTTGAAATACCCTAATTTATTGTTTCCCTTTATGTGTGGTACGTCTGGTAATCGAGAGTCAAAAAAGAAGAAGATGAAGAGTGGTTTATTGGGAGAGGGATGATGATAATGACAATTTAGGGATTGATTGTGTAATATATTGTTTAATCCTCATTCAATGTCCGTCTAAAGGGAAAGACGATATTACCCTTACATGAGGGGCACATAGTATCACTTAACGACGAATTCAAATGAAACGAGGCAAAGGATCATCTATGCGACTTTTTGAAACAACATAGATCATTATCATCAACAAAAAAAGTTATAGACGAAATATATAAATTTGAAAAACTAGAGACCATTTATATAATTTTGTAAAAAAATAAAATTTTGAAACTTGTACTTAAAGTATAAATTTATGCCCACCACAGGGACAATTTTTTATGATTCATCTCAAAAATAAATATTAATATTAAATGTAATATGTGTTTAAAAACAAAAAATTAAAAGGGTTAGAAAACGCAGAAATAGATATCAATAACATCTTATTATTAGAAAACTAAAAAGACTTTAATTTTTTTTTTCTTTAAAAAATGACGATACACATTTTGATCTACTTGTAAACTACTTATGAAATTATAGATCTACCAATGTTTCAGACAAGAGTTAAACGTCAATCTTAGGCTATAGGGAGTAATAGCATGCGTAGGTCATCCTGTATACTCTCCACGCCAAAGGTCGTGGAGAGCTTCCAAGTCAGCCACCTCAGGCCACCACGAACCACTGGGGTACTCCCCACTACCGAAAAGAAGAGAGAGAAGAGAAAGAAAGAAGAGGGAGAAGAAGAAGATGGGAGGGAAGAAGAAGACCATTGGCCGTTTACATTTGTGATGCCCACCACGAAACACCACAAAATTGCTCCACCACGAACGGGTGGGCCGGTGTGCACGCACGAACGGGCGGGCCGGTGTGCACGACCGTTGTTCGTTGCCATGTGTACCACGAACCCGTTCGTTGTATCCATACCGGTAGGTCTTAGCACCTTGCCACATCACATTTTTATCTGCCACTTAAGTTTCATATACACTTGAATTTTAGAATTAAAAAAAATATATAAAATCCAAATGAAAAATAGACAATTAGAATCCTTCTTGTCTTGTCTTTTTTCTCTTTTCTCTCGTTAACCAGACAACTATCTTAGCATGGCGAGTCATCTAGCGAAGCTTAGAGGGTGGTCCTAACGAGCTGATGACGTCTTTTTGGCGAGCTGAAGGCAAGGGCCACTCCCCCAGCCTTATGGACTGAAGAAAAACATCATACTGCTAGCTAGCAAAATGATTATTAGTTAAAAAATAATTAATGTAGAAAGAAGTTATTTAAGTAGATTTGTTTTTGTGAAAAGATAATGTAACAAAAAGAAATATATTCTACAAAGAGTTTAATAATTATGAATGCTCTGTTTTATATCGACCGGCATTTGACAGCAGGCGACACATGCCATAGAAGTCATCTGACCTAATCCCCCAAATTATGTAATCTCTTCAAATCTGCAATGCCCATATCAATTCGCTATATTTCCATACTAAATCCCTAATTCCCCTTTTGGGTTTCTTCCTCCTTCAACTACATTGATCAATTCACCCATCAGCCACCTCAGATCCAATCCAACTAAAATGGGAAGAGGAGGAGCCCTAAGCGAAAGTGTTTTGAAGAAGATCATCCTCTCCTACAGCTACGTCGCCATATGGATCTTCCTCAGCTTCACTGTCATCGTCTACAACAAGTACATACTCGATCGCAATATGTACAACTGGCCTTACCCAATCTCACTCACTATGATTCACATGGGTTTCTGTTCTTCATTAGCTTACATTCTCGTCAGTGTACTCAAAGTCGTCGAACCAGTTCAAATGACCCTCGATGTGTATCTCAAATCCGTTGTCCCAATCGGTTTCCTTTACTCTCTTAGCTTATGGCTCTCCAATTCCGCTTACATTTACCTTTCTGTTTCGTTTATCCAAATGCTCAAAGCCTTAATGCCTGTCGCCGTTTACTCCATCGGTGTTTTGTTCAAAAAAGAAGGGTTTAAAGGCCAAACGATGAGCAACATGCTTTCGATCTCTTTTGGGGTTGCGATTGCTGCTTATGGTGAAGCCAAGTATAATTCATGGGGTGTTACGTTACAGCTTGGTGCTGTTGCGTTCGAAGCTACTCGTTTGGTTTTGATTCAAATCCTGTTGACATCGAAAGGCATTACGTTTAATCCGATAACATCTCTCTATTATGTCGCTCCTTGTTGTTTGGTTTTCTTATCTGTTCCATGGATTATCGTGGAGCTTCCCAAATTGAGGGATACTTCTAGTTTCCACTTTGATTACTTCATCTTTGGGACGAATTCGATTTGTGCTTTTGCTTTGAATCTGGCTGTGTTCTTGCTTGTTGGGAAGACATCTGCGTTAACGATGAATGTTGCTGGGGTTGTTAAAGATTGGTTGCTGATTGCTTTTTCTTGGTCGGTGATCAAGGATACAGTAACTCCGATCAATTTGTTTGGTTACTTGATCGCTTTCATGGGTGTTGCTTATTATAATCATGCCAAGTTACAGGCACTTAAGGCTAAAGAAGCAGAGAAGAAGGCGACTCAATTTGATCTTGATGATGAATCGGGCAAGTTATTGGACCAAAAAGATGAAAAATCAGCAAGAAAGAATGAGTCTGATAAATGATTCAAATGGGTTTTTGATTTTCATGGCTGATGATGTAGGATTTCTTCAAGTTTAGGTATTTCACAGTTCACACGATCTAGCTATTTTTAATTATGTTTATCTTTGTTGGTTTATATAAATGGATTTTCATTTATAAGATTTTTCTTCTTATAGATATCTGGAAATTTGGGTGCTTGATGATGTGTTCTTGATACATTGTATTTTTCTTGTTTATGATTCTTGATTATTGGATTCAAGAAACACTAAAATAACAATAGAAATACGGATTGATTGATTGATATAGTAATCAAGGGTTTTTTTTTTTTTTTTTTAAATTAAAATCTGGGTAATAAAATATTTTATTTGTCAATTAGGTTTTTGGGCTAATTTGTTTGTGTAAAATATTTTATTATGATCAACATGTTTGGATATATAAACACTCGGTTGTAACATGACCAAAAAAGGAAAAAAAAAACGAATTTTCTAATTTAAGTGATCTAATTCGGGAAAAAATTAGCCTGTACCAAAGTTAAATAAAATGAAATAATTGGTTGCTGTAATTAACCATAGTTACGATGACAAAAAAAAATATAAAAATAAGCATGTTTCATGGTATATTCGCTTTTTGTCTTTTGTAATCGACAGAAGTCAATCAACACCAACATGCAGCTGGAAAAGAAGCATATCATGTCGTATAAGGATAAAAACGTAATGTCGACTATATATATTAATTAATTTGCAAAATAAGTTTGTGAGAAACATTTATGTTTATTTTTAGTTGTTATTTTCAAAGCACAACTGCACAAATACTTAAACTGAGATCAAATTACTATTTTGATGTAAAATAAATTTTTACCTGGAATAATAGAGACTAGGTGTAGAACCCATTTATTACATGAGTTCATTTAAAAGAAAAATTAAATATGAAATTCTAAACATTTAAAAGTTTGAATTTATAAAAAAATTGAAAAAAATATATTGAATTATTAAAATTAATATGTTTTTTTTTAAATTTATTTATTTATTTTAAATTTAAACAAATAATTTAGATAAATAAACAAAGTAAACTAATGAGTTTTAATTTACAAATTTTAAAATTAAAAGGAAAGTCAATTAATGAAATTGATATGCATTTATTATAATTATTACATTTAAAAATTATGTGGATTTTGATAAACGAAAGAAACTACAAAATGTTATGTGAAAAAAAAATTAATTGAAAATAACCACAAAATGACATGTGGCCAAATCAATAAGAATGTGACATGTGACAAAAAGATTTTCATTTATTAGAGGAGATTTTAT